AAGAGTTATCTATTGCAACAGATTTCAGAGACAGTCCTTCAGTATTTTTGACTTGGAATCTGTGCTTTGGTGTCTTACATGCAGTATGACACCTTGATATTGATTATTGATTGATATGTATTTTCAAGCTATTTGTAGATTATTGCAACTGATTATTGCAACTGTGTAGACAGTTTCTTATTATTTTTGAGGAGGGAGTAATAAGTTGGATCAAAGAATGTATACCATATAAGTTATCCAAAGTGTTTGGAAACGCTAACTTTATTAAATGAGCAGAAGCTCCAGTGTTTGTTCTTTACTAATCTAAATGAAAAAATGAAGAATATATGCACTTTTTTCCATTTGCAGCTTTTTAGGCTTCTTCCTCCTCATTTTTTAATATAGTTCTATAATTAAAACTTACTTGTTCTTACTTTATGAAAGAACATTCATGGAATGTAGATCTTTCTTTCGTTTAAATACCTTGATATCAGAAATATGTCCTAGAAATATCTAGTAGCCTGGCTTAAGAGAACTATCACACTCAACATTTTAATCAGATAATTTTTCCCTTTGGCATAATTTGTGCTTTGCATTCTTCAAGTTCTTTAGTTGTATGAGCCTGTACCTTACACTCTCCAGGAGTGAATAATAGGGCTTTAAATTTGTTGTTGCTAATTACAGCTTGATGATACTCCTTTTGTAGCTAAAATGGATTTGAAAAAGACCTTAATATAAGTAAGAGTCTAGTTCACAACCTGCAGATTTCCCTGTCTACAGCAGAAATTCATCATATCTCACTAGAATAGAGCTGATTTTTGTAAAAGATAGGTAGGTAGCTTTCTAGGGTCAGCATTATTTAAGGTGTCGTGTAAGGGCAAGAGGAATTAGGAAATGGTGGTGAATTTTTCGGGTTTCTGTGAGAAAAATCCAGTAAATAGGTTGTAACTCCTACATCTGTGCTTTAGGTAACACCACTCTAATTCCCTAGTGGGATGAGGAAGCTGTGACTCTGAAAGTAGAGTACTTTCTCCTTTCTGGTACAAATAAGAATATAGCAAGCCATTTTCAAATGAGAAATCTCAAGATTGTTCTTTTTTCTCCAAATGAAAAAATGTGTTTGCTTCTATTTCTAATTAGAAACATGCATCCTGGAACAGGAAAAAGAAGACTTCTGTGTTGAGTTTCAGTTTCATCAGAATTCTCAAAAAAACCCAGAATTTTTCATCCAGGCAGAAACCGAAGCACTGAAGCTTTCAGATTTGCCAGTAACCAGTCAAAGAGGAGGAGCCACAAATGATTGTAACTTCAGTCCTGAAGAATCAAGGTAAAAGCAAATATCCCTATATATAGTTTTCCTAGATTCAAATTGTAGACAATAGACATACAGATTTTTGGATAAAGATAGTGAAAGTTTACTTCCCAACTGAGAATCAATGTCATTTTTTTACTTAGACTCACCATATCTGCCCTTCTTTTCTTGTGGAATGCTGCATTTCACGACTGTATTCTCTAGTTCTGATAGAAAATATGATTATGGCAATGGTTTCAATCATTGTATACTTTCCAGAGAATTTTAAAAATGCATACTGAACAGAATTGGAAAAGATGATCTAAAAGTCTAGTAGTATATGTGGCTTTACACTACAAGCATGGTGTACCCTGAGTATGATGAATGAGTAGGAAGCAGGAATAAAGCAGGGTGAAGTCTAGATGAAGCTGGAAGAGTGAAGATGAAGAGCTGTACTACCTCCTAGGCAGTCTATGACAGCAATCTGGGGAAGGGCAAATACAGTTCAAAAGTCTAATACAAATTCTGAAGATTTTATTCAGTCATTAATTTTGGTTATTTATTGTCATTAATTTCCATACTGAGCTATGACCCTCTTCTGCAGTCTTAAGAAACATATACACTCATGCTGTATGTGACATAATATATGAAGAAGGTATACTCAGCTGACTAGGGAACATGCTACTAGTTTTGAGCAACTTAGGCATTTTAAAGCCCAAGTGTTAGCTGAGAGTGACAGAGTTGCTTTTGAAAATGGGATCAGGGCTGCAGAGCCCTATGATGTACTTTTGAAAAATATACTCTAATTCTGCACCTGGTTTTGTTATCTTTAGTACGATCTAGTGGTGACTCATTAGGCCAAAACAAGTCCATAGTATTTTCTGTCTGTCTTGTTGCCTGTTTTTGAATGAGGGCCTGAGATATGTTGTTAGGACAATGCATCGTGTACTAAAAGCCAAATATAATCCTGAGTGATTAAGTATAGCCCAGCACAGGGTCAGCCAAAGGTTGTTACTCCTACCCTTCACCGGTGCTGCTCACACTGGCAGTCAGGTTGGTCTTGAACACTGAGATTAACCTCCCACAGCAGTCAGCATGTTGAACCATGTCCTCTGCAAATATATTGCATATAGGATCCTAAAAGCTATAGGCCAAAAACTCATTGTGGTAAATACTATATAAACTGCACAAAATCCATACTTCCCCAAATAAATTGCAATTAGAATATAAGATGAGAAGATATTTTGAAGTAGAACAACCCAGGAAATGTTGAGTCAGTGTTGGTTTGCTTTATAGATGATGGTCTTAGTGTACTATCAATGTGATCTGTCAAGTTTTCTTTTAGACATCGGGGATTGATGGATTGAAAGATGATGATGGGGTATATTCAAACTTGTTCATGGGAAGCATGTCCTGAACTTGAAAATTGCATAAAAAAAGCTTGAAGTTTGTAATGTCTGAGCAATAGTGTCCAGAGACATCTATCACTTGCAGTCTGAAACAATACCAAATGATATTTGCTAGACAGAGCAAAGATGAAATAGGCTTTCAAAGATCTTAAAAGTGAAGACAAGCAGTTTAATCACTCTTCCACCCCACATATAGTGTAATGCACTAAGTACTTTTTTGATGTGAATCCCCTTGCTGTCTATGTTTGATGTGCTTTAGGTTGCACCATAGTTTGCCGGCAGAGTACAGATCTTAACTTCCCTCTTAAAGAACCATAGAGAAAATAAATCTAATGGAAGCAGGAGAAGAAAGCAGTGGTTGAGTACAAACAACTGTCTACTTAAGAGAATGACTCTTTGGAGCAACAGATAGCTTTCCTTTTCTTCCTAGAATATGAATTACACATAATGAAAGTAATATATACAGGAGAAATAGGAGTTTAAAATGTATAGCTTTTCTGTGGCTACTTCTTCTGACTCATTGGCTATGAAGACTGTAAACAGAAAACGCTTAAGGGAAGCAAATGTTAAAAATATTTGCTAATCTCCCTTCTAATCTGTTCATTTATGGATTTTGCTGCCATCTTACAAGTAAGATCTGAGTTATCTTTGAGTATCAATGGATAACCAAGGAGTTTTATAAGAGTCTTACCTTGAGGCAGAATTTTTGTGGCTGTTGAATCTTGTCTTATTTTTCTCTGTCTATGGCTAAATAAGTTAGCTTAAAACTCTGTGAGTAAACTCTGTGAGTGGTATACAGTATGGAATTCCTGTTGTCAGTTATAATATTTAGAAAAGCTATTTTTTTATAAACTTCTTCAAGATGAACTAGACTTTGTCTTCTGGATATTCTTATTTTACTTCATGTGGAATTGTATGTCCTACTGAAAGGATGTAAAATTCTCATCTACTGAAGAGTTTGTTTTCTTTTAACCTGAGCATCATTTTGATCCCCAAATGTTTCTTTACTTTGTCACTCCATGTTAAGCACATTTTTAATATTTGCTTGCCTTAAGTATTTTCTATTTATAGGCTTCATAACCAATTTAAATTCTTCTGTTTTATGCTTTAGTACTGTAGTTATATTTATTTACTATCCCAGATTTACAGATTTTTTTCAGAATTACCGATTTAAGAAGCGATAGAAGGACATCCCATTTACTGGCTATTTAATACATTTAAAATGGTTAACAAGTTTTGATAATTTCTTTCTGTATTTATTGGGGGGGGAGGGGGAGGCGGGGAGTGGGGACGAACTGGTTTTGCATTATTTTATCTTTTTTTTTTTCCTCCTAAACACAGCACCATAGAAAGAAAGGCTAACAGGATGCTCCCTGAATTTATATCCTCATGGAAGGATGATGCAGATTTAGGTGGAAAAACAGAAACTGCATTCCTTTTAAAAGAATTGGACATTCTGAGGGCCAAAAATAAAAAGGTACAATTGAGATATTCAGATCACAGTATTTGCTCTTCTATGGTTGTCTTACAAAACATACATTTTAAACTGTTCCTAATTTAGTTTTGTTATTTATTTTAGTGCACCAATCAATAGCTTTCTTGTAATTTTGGATTCTTAGTATCTGCTTGACAATTGCTTTTCTGGAATTAAGAAAATCTTTCATCCTACCCTTTGACCTTTTAAATCAGTGACATAGGTTCTTGCACTATGGATGAAAAACAAGGAAGACCAAAACCTAGGCCAGGATTTCATTAATAGAATCTGGAGCTTGTACTCCATCCTACTTGCACACTGCATTGCTTCCAGCATTGGTAGTGGTTGCATGAGCCTAAACAACAGAAAAGTCTATAGTCCTTCCATGAAGTGTCATTGAATATTCAGTGGCAAGCTCATATATCTGTCTAAGAATAGTTTTAGTGAATTCACAGTTAAAAGAAAGGCCTCAACATGTGAAAGAATACCAGCTTTCTATCTGGTAATGCACATGAAAAATTATGCATTTACCCCACAGTCTCTTTAGGCTGTGATGGCAGTACCCTTGGTAGCAGATAGGCTACTCATGCAGACTCCACCTGCGTTATATTCCACATAATTCTGAACTTCCTTGGTGAGAAAGACCACAGGTTGTGATACCTGAAAAAGAGAATCCCAAATAAAAATAATGGCACACACATTGCTGCTTGTCTCACAGAGCAAAAGAGGGCAGATGATAAAAAAGGTATTTTTAACATTTGTCCTTTAAATAAATAAGTATATTTAATTGAACTTCTGTTATATTGCTTAGTGTTTGTATTTTGGAGATAAGAAACTATTATTTATAATTTTGTTCTGGTTAAAATAGCTGGTTCACTGTTTCAACTAGGTAAGAATCTTACTGTCCATTTATTCAATTCAGCTTCAAGATAAGCTGTCTGAAAAGGACAAGGAGATGAAGACAATAAAACTGGACTTAGAACTGCAAGAGAGAGCTACAGAAGCTAAGATTGCAGAAAAGATTGCAGGTACAGTAGGCGAGCGTTTAACAGATGGCTGTATGGCTCATACAGAACCCGCGGTTGCTATATGACGTGGCCTAGTGAATGTTAGCTTTATTTGCTAAAGGAGGGAAGATTTGACTTTTTTTTTATGTGTGGCTGTTTAGAGTTGCTTAGAAAATAGGTGGCTTTAACATCCTGGTACTGGTATTAGCAGGAGCTTTACCTGTATTCATACTGATTTGGGCATTAAATGCATTGTTAACACCATGTCAATCCAATCACAAAAAGGTTGTTTGTTTTGTTGGAAGGTCCTGAACAAACAAGGGGAAATAATGATTACCAGTGCCTCTACCTTTCAACCAGCAGTTCAAATACCACTTATTGTTTTAGCTCGTTCAGAGCAATACTACCCCCTCCCCGTCTATGGAGATAGTCACACATTCACCTCAACTGGAGACCTGCACTTTTCTTGAAAAATCTGTTCTTTTGGTAGTGATAATGAATTTTTGTCTGATGATGATGTGTCTCCAGTGAATTAAGTTTATAGAAATTCCCAAAATGAAAGGCTTTTAAGTTTATAGTTGAAAGTAAATGCATACTTATATTTGTTGTTAATTGCTCTTTGGGTAGACATACAAGAATGAAGACTGTTTGTATTCTACAATTTCAGAAATTTCTAAAGTAATGAAGCTAAGTTTTTTTTTTATTATTGAAAAGTGACTGTGTGTACAGTGTACCCAGTGGATGAAAAATACTCTGAGGTTTTTCTCCAAGTGTTTAAAAAAATTAATGAGTGTGCTTTTATAAATTCATTGTATCGTTTGTTCATAAATAAAGTGTAAGCTAGGTAAAATTGTGTCCCTGTAGACCTTGCACATTTCAGATAGTATTAATAGTACTAATACCTGTCCCCAGAATACTGGTACTGAAGAGAGGAGTGGCTGTCTTCAGGAAAATGGAGCAGAAAATAAACTTTCCATCTGAAAAAGCAGATGGATGACTTTCCACTTAATGTCAAACTCCTGAGAGTACAGTATTCTTTGTATATTATAGATGAAAGAGAGAGTTCCTAGATTTTCTGTGGTGAAGAAAGGGAAAGGCAAATCCAATCTACGTATTAGGAAACAAATTAAAATACAGGCATAATTTTGTTCTTATTTCATTTTACATAGACTGCCTGCTGTATTTTCAGAAGAAAAAAAAAACCAAAACACACTGCATATCATAGCTATATCCAGCAGCTGAAAGCTAATGCCAATTGTTTGGGTTGAATCCCAATCTTTGTGTTTGTTCCTGGATATTTGCATAGTGCTTTACCTCTGTACCTGTAATAGAAAAAGACTATCTTTGATATAGGTGTTCATTGCTCATTAAAACCTGGAAAGAAATGTGTGTCAAAAGGTGTGTCCAAAACACGTTTAGTTTCATTTTTATGGGCACGGTTGAAATATTTGTTAGTAAATTGTTTCTTCCTACACTACTGTTTAAACAGAAATTATGTCCCAAGCATATTATTCTCTTCAAAACAATATGACATAAATACGAATATAATAATTAACAGATATTCCATTTTAAAAGGAAAAATAAGCCAAATTTTAATGAGAGCTACAATGTGTAGAAAGAATGACCTTTAAAAAAATACCTTTTTTCTCCTTTTATGAGTTCAGGAAGTATAAAATTCTTTAAATGCTAAGAGAGAGGGCAAGAGGCTCCTTACTGCTTAAGTTGTTTGCAAAAAGGAAGCATCATTAATATTTCATGGGTTTTTTGCTTCCTGTCTTACAGTTCTAAGAGTGTTACCAAGTTTGGATAAATGTTTTGAAATCTGGAATAATGAGAACCAAGTTGAATTTGTGGAGGTCTATGTGTCTCTCTATCATAAAGGTTTGAGGAGAGTTCTAATGGACAAGCAGAACCTGGTAAAGAAGACACAGTGTGTTTAAGGAAAAACTTTTTCCCCTTGTGTTAAGTCCTTTGAGGAAAGGAGAACACATGCTGCTGTGATTTCATGTTGCTAGTTAATGTTTAATTACTGCAGTGTGTAACACATGGTAGAGTGAAGCTTGTAAATATGGGTGTTTGCATTTTTATTATTACTTAGTACCGACTTTATGATAAGAAAATGACTCCACAATATTATATTGTAAAAAACATCAGAAAGGTACACCATAAAAATGTTATCTACTTTGAGGAATATTACAATTCTGTTTTAAAATGTAACACTGTAATTGTTGGGTTTTATCTAAACAAGTCCCATGGAAAGAACAGAAAAGCTGAAGACAAAGGCCATTTTAAAATGAAGCTACAACAGTCTTCATAAACAAGTAACGTGAAGCTTGTTACTTAATGATTTTTACTTTGTTCAGAGGAAGAAGTGAAGAGGTAAAGTGTAAATTTGTGAAAAGTTTAATGAGAAAATAAGAAAAAGTAGACTTAAGGCAGAAGATATACTTGATGGAAGAGAATGTTCAATATTGTGTGCAGTAAATAACTTATTTTCAGAAGGTGTTTATATTTACATTTTACTAGCCTGGAAAATGGATTTTAGAACTTCCTTGAGTCCCTGTCTGTGTCAGGTAGTTATGACTAAGGAAAATTAGGGAATTCGCAGTTTTGATTACAGGCTTTTAAGCATTAGAGACGGTGGTTTCTGGCAGTTGTAATTGCACAGGTCCCCGGTGTTTCCTCATTGTTCTTCTGTTGGATTTCCTCTCATAAGCCAATGTCAGAAGGTATCATTAGTTTCACTCCCCATCATGAAGAGGAGAAGAAGAGCAGAAGTGGAAGCAACCTTGGGAAAATCAAGGGAAGAACACATCATAAAAGAACTGAGACTAGTATAATGTAAGGAATAAAGGGAACACCACATGTGAACTAGTTATGAAGAACAGACAAGTCTTGAAATGTGGGACTGCAGAACTTTCATAAGTTGAACAGAAAAGAGAATGGGTGCACTCTGTGGGAGGGGAAAGGGAGAAGCATACATCTTCTGAGGACAAACTGGAAGATAAGGATAGAGGTGTTGCAAAGGAGTAAGTCTTCAAAAGAACTAGCAGAGAGAAGAGATCTCACTTAGAATGGACATAACAGGTGATATTTTTTTTCCTAACAGAAGAATTATACAGGGGGTATATAGGAGCTTTTAGAGGAAAGAGCTGGTTAAGTGTAGGTGAGAATCATAGAGCTTAGTGGTTAGCCTCTCTAGACAGGAAAAGTATCAAAGCCCTGGTCTTCCCGCAGTAACTCTGACCATTACTACAACAAAACATACCATAATTGGTACCAGAACCTCGACTCTTGAAATATTTTTGTTGGTATCACAGTGCTATATATTGGGACTAAGAATAATTCTGAAGGAAAATATAATAAAAAATATTTATCCTTAAGCCTTTATGTAACAAGGGCTAGTCTGTGGGGATTTTTTGACAATATCTAATAGTAATGTTACCAGCATTTAATACTTTTAAAATCAGAGTCAACTCAGCAGCAAGGAGTGGATTGAGTCCAGCCCTGCTAGGTCTGTTAGGTGTTGCACATCACCTATAATGCCTGGAAACTCTATTAGCATTCTACAGATGCTCTCTAAAAGACCAGGGTAATGATAGGAAATATAGTGTGGAAAAAGAGGAAAGCAGAACTTCTAATGCTGTTGTATATGTTATACAGCTTTAAGTTTCTTGGAAGCTACAGCAATATACCTACAATTAAGTTCCTTTTTTTAGGTCTGTTTTTACAAAAATGTTGAGAATTAACATTTGTGGTGTTTTGGAATTCTTTAATACAGTCTGCAAATGTTCATGAACATTATTTAAAGTTTCCTAAATTAACTTGAAAAATAATTACTGAATGCATATGCAATAGCTTTAACAGCAAAAGTGAAAACAAATATCCAAGTGGCTATTAGCGTAGAGTTAGTTTGATATTAATATCCCATAAAGTAAGAGGAAATAAGTAATCTTGCCAGTAATAAACTTCGGGTAGCAATAACTTCCAGCACAGGAGTATTTTCCATTTCTTCAAAGCTCACTTTAGAGTCCCTTTTTAGATGTTATTTTTCTTTCTTGCATGTCATCCATTAAAGATTAGCTGTGGAAGGTTGGAGCATGGAGAGATTATGAATGACAGAGCAACTCCTGCAGAATAATAATCAGTTTTTGGTATTTAATGCTGTTTGACTTTTGCAGACACATTTCTTATTAACCTTTGGTACAAATAGAAATCCAAGTTCCTGATATCTCATGGAGAAGATGAATTCAAGATCTTCTTCCAATTAAACTGAAATAAGGCCAATATTGGGCTTTAGCCAAAAGAACTCAATAGTTCCCAACCCTTGTGTTTATAAACCTAAATATGAATGATATTTTACAGTTTAAGGAGCCAATGCATATACTTCCCTAACTGACTTTTCTGTGCATCCTTCATTTGCGTATTTATATATATTATATGTAAATACTATTTCCTAAATATATTTTCAAAATATTTCCTGGTAAATAACAGAATTTTGAAAATAGCTGGAAGATTTGAATCCTCTGTATTGGAAGGTAGACAGTCCATCTAAAGGACAGAAAACACCCCCCAAGGTGGGAGTGTTGTGACTGAGAACATTTTAGCTTAATTTTTAACAACTTAAATTTGAAACAATGTAATTTTACCTTCAGATTGTCAGAATTGTTGATTGTCAAAAAGTTGCATGCAGCTTTTTGAAGTACAATATTTGATGAGCTGGCATAGGCTAAAATGTGAATTACTAAGCTATTTATGGATGGAGCTTGTTTGTAAAAAAACAAGCTAGTGTCTTCTGCATTTTTTTTATTATTAGGCTGGCCCTTCTCTCTTCCCTGCTGTGGTGCTAGATGAACATGAAGAATTAGGTTTTATTCAGGAATAAAAAGGTCTGCAAATAATCTATTTCTTGGGGTATTACAAAACCTTGTCTTTAACCTGACAAATTATAACTTGCAGACTTTAATGCAACATTTGTATTTTTCCCCCTAAAGTAAATATTTAGGCATCAGTAATTATTC